TGGTTGGCGTTCTTTTTATCGCACTCTTTCGCTGTTTTGAAAGATGCTTTGATGATCGTCGGTCCATGAGATTCCCAATAATCTGTGCTTTTGTTCCTGTTCGGATCGCATCAGTTCATTTTCTTGCGTGTGTTAGACACTTTCACTTTTCTGGCCGCAGCTCTCCTGAATTCGGTCTTAGTTGTCCAACCTACGTCCAGTGTGTGCCACCTATTCCAAGCACCTTCAGGTTTCATCTTTTTATCTCTGCAGCAATTTGGAATAGTCTTCCTGTCTTCCACATCGTTCGGATGTTACAGTGATTGTTAGTCGGGGCATCAGACTCATAACTTCCGGAGAAACTCGATTTTTTACACAAGAGGCTCAAACTTTTCTGAATGAAGACCTAACTGCAAGGGCAAAGTTAAAATGTTTGAAATTATACCTACCATAGTAGATCTCTCATGCTTCTCTAAAGACACCAGTCTCAGAATAGTTTCCTTCCGCTAACTGTAGTAATCGTAAATCGAACGGACATAGATATGAGGCTTACACTCCTGCTACATACTTTTCTCTCCATAACATAGCAAATAACCCATAAGATTGACATCATTCCTTTCTAAAAGAAAAATGCTTACCCTATGTAACACTAGTATTAATCGATACCCTATTTGAACTCAATTAGCCCACTCATTCATGCTCCCTGGTTATTTTAAACAACCCTTCACTTGTTCTGATTATTAAGACTTGGTTGTTCCGTAATGTCCCTGACTCTTACCTTCCAGAGTCATATACGAATTCTTTATCTGTGACCAAATCTATTAATAGGGTAGTGGTTGTCTCATCTATGTATCTAGAAACATTAAGGCAGAAATTTTTAGATGGACTGTCTTCAGTAATATTTGGAATCCAACATAGCTTATTGTACATCCTTAAATTTGAAGTGTCAACTTGATGCATATATCGGGCTCCGAACGCTCATCAGTTAACTGATACTGTTATCATTCAGCCATTTGTTATGGCTGCTTCTCTTGGATTAGCCTGCAAATTTATTTGTGGTGCTTCAAACTCCCTGGAATCAATTGGCAGATGCATCCGGTCTATTGTACTTTGAAAGCAAATTTAGTTACGTAGACATTTATTGTTTGTAGCAATAGACGCACCTTCCTGTAGGAAACCACAGCGTTCTTGACGTGTTCATTATGCTGCAATTCTGAAACGGTAATGTGTTTTGAATACATAGACTATGAACATGCTGACTGTGAAAGCTTCCAATCTATAGTTAATCACTTATTTCGTTCTGTACTAATGACGAAGTTTCTGAAACGCTACTTTAATTTAATGTCGCTATTATATCTGAACTAGAAACTTATATCCCCTCTAAAACGCCTTCCACAACAGTGACTCTTTATATCAACCGGAAATCCATAGCTAAGCTTAGCGAACTAAAATGAACAAAACTCATATCAAATGATTCAGAATCCTGCAGCAAATTCATTCTGTAATTGAGAGTGTTAGAAATCCATATGAATGGCATAAAGGAGTAAAGAAAACCAATGCACTCACTACCATATCTCAATCCTCAAACCACTACTGTCCATTTGAAAAGAGTTTAAAAATAATGCGGATTAGAATATTTATTCTTTATTGCATGATAGTGAGACGTAAGATTGCCAAACTGCTATTTCTGAACTTCTTAGAACATGGTTTTCTCTCAGTCGCGTTTCATTACTTACCCCACTTTATCAGTACGAATAATCTCGATCCTATCACGCCGGTAGTGAAGCCCTCAAACCGAATGCTTGTTCAAATGCAAACCCAATCAATCAATACTGTTCAAAACGGCAAGATCAAATATGCTGACAATGGTACTTATAATATTTACATCATCCTTAGACGCTGGTACACACCCCGAAACTTGGAAAGTAACCTATGTTGTCTCTGAACACAAAGCGGACTGAGAAACCTATTCCAAAACCATAGACCAATTATTATTACCACAGTTATATCAAAGGTAATGGAGAAAGTAATAAGCGAACGATCACATGATCACTTAGTCAGGTAGCGTCTTATCGACAAGACGAAAAACAGATTTAGTAGAAGTAGATCATGCACCACATGTCTAGTAGATTTCTTTAATGAGCTTACGAGCTTACGCAATCAAAAGCAACCAGTGATTGAGTTGTATTTTGATACCAAAACGGCTTTCGATAAGGTACCTCATAACTTCTTAATCGACACACTTTAGTCAATAGGGATGACTAGCCACCTATTTCAATGGATTAGATCTTTTCTCGCGAATAGATAAAAATTGACAAACTTAAACCCACTACATCTACACCTCGACGAATTACCAGTGGTCTTGAGCGAGGGTGTCTTGATTGCATTGCTTTTCCTAATCTGCATCAACAGCACATACAGTTGCTTCAACACTGGCAAAACCTACCTCTGCGTTGATCTAAAAGTGTTCTATAAAACTAACAGATTTGATACAGGAAACTTCACGCTAACAATCCACTATGAACTCAATAATGTAGATAACTGATGTGAGCGTTAAAACTAAAAAATCAATACAAAGAAATCTGGCTTGCTCTGATTTTCAGGTATTTATCAAAATAAGTTTCAGCCGCAGCAACAAATTACATTTCAGCTTGCATTAGTAACAGACTGAGGGAAAAATGTTTTATCCGCAGAAGCTTATTACAATGAATCTTATCGTCTGAAGATAGAAGTGTGTTGAAAATTAGCCTTAACCCAGGTTTTTTTGCGAACTTGATGTTTTACCGTGAAATTTTGTAAAATCATGGAAAATATGTAGTTCGGTTGATATACACACACGTAGAATAGTCCTTGAAGCAGAAGTTCACGTTACAATCCTTTTTATGAAGATTGCTACTCAATGGTAACTCCGCCAGTAGAACCTTCGGGGCTACTGCCGGTCCCAAGCCCGAGTAAAGGAGGAGGGTTGGTGTTACGTCCAGTTTTTTGCTCGTTGATCTTACGAAGCACCGTTGTCGAACTATTTGTAATTCACGGTCCCAAATGTTTAAACCAAGAACGAAACTCCAAAGTAGATACCAAAGTTTATTCCAAATCACAAATTCGACCAAAATACTTTATTACAAATAGACGACCAATGTCTTTCTAACAACAATAATTATAATAATTACAATTACCTTCTAATTTATTAGCTCTTGGAGCAAAAAACTGCAAACGAACAACAAAGAGAAACGGGAGTCCAAAATGTCCGCAAATAATAATTCAAACAAGTTCACAAGTTAAGTAAAACAAATGTACCCAAAAACAGTGAAATTAATGATATTATACATGAAGGTTTTGATCAGCAAAATGTCTTTCGTTTCTCCGTAACAG